ATAGGGAGTTGAGAAGCGCGCATTTAATTTAATTATATAAATAGGTCACTTGTAGATTAGAATTCAGTCTTAATTGAGCAACTACCGTATTAAGGGCGGTAGCACGAAGCTAATCTGGTAACATCCCCCGGTCGGAAGAATTGCTCTCCCAAACCCCAGACCATCCGACCGTAACAATATACTCTTACTTCAGTTTTATAACAAGAATGTATATAATTTGCTGTTGATTTTTTTCAAAAGCACTTAGCTTCAAAACATAAAAAAACTATTGTCGTTCACATAGTACGCATTGGCAGGAGAGATTTTGAAAAAAAAAAAGACTTTTCATATGTTTTACTAGTAAAAAACCATGAATCCGGTAATTTATGGTGGTAGTAGGGCAGTTATCCGACACTTTTATACACTAGTCCAAATTAGTCAATTTGTGTTAGTTATAATTTGATGTACTCGGGATAATATAATATTTGTGCTATAATGTATCCCATCGCGTCTCATTTATAAAGTGTCGGGAAGGAGACTATAACTTCAATTCCTCCTCTTACTCATAAATTGTCATTATATTGATATTTATCACAAGAAACATCACAATGGATAACATCAGCTTTGCCTCTACTACCCTGCTTTCGATAACCCTGATTTTTATGTTTTATCTTTACCTGAGGAAGAAATGGATGCTAGAAAAGGTAACTTTTGGTTTGTTACGAAAAATAAGAAAAAAAAACTTTCTAAAGTATTTTTCATAGATCTGGAAGTTTATCAAGAAAGGGTGCAGAAGAGCAGAGCCGCAAAGAATAATTTCTTCTTCCATAACAGGTAAGTCTCGAAGGTTTGGTTTTCTTTTATGCATGACACGATGTTGACGCTTGTTCTTTTAAGCCAAATCCGACTTATTGATTGCTTTGAACTAAATTTAAAAATTAAATTTCTCTTCGATCCAACGATTATAAAATTGAATAATTGTTGGTACCCTTATTTGGATATGGGTAGAAAATACATCGTATAGGGTGTGGTTAAATCTGTTAATTAAATAGGTCACTAGTATATTAATATTAACAATTACGCAGGCGGTATTTTCAATTATTGTTCGGCGCGAGTAGTGGCTGACCAAGCTTTGATTGAAAGAACTAAATACCAAGGCTATTACTGAACCTCTTCCGCGGTAGTTGTTGACTCGACAAAAGGTTTATGGAGAAAACCAAAGATTAATGAAAATGAACAAATAGCCAATTTTGCTATTTACAGTGGACTCTCCCTAAGTGCAGGTCGTTGGGACCAAAGCCAAAACCTGCACTTAGAGAGAAACCTGCACTTAGGGAGACCAGTAATATTGAAGTCAGGTGTGTATATTTGTACACTTTATTTGTAATATCGTTTTTATTAAACAACAGACCTAAGAAAAAGCAACACTGATGTTGCAAAAAGCGGTAAATACTCAAAACATTTACCGGAACACTTAAATTCATCTTCGGATATATTCAACAGCTTTGCAAACTGTTTCGCTTTCTCTTTTAAAATTTCATCAGTTAATGTGACGTGAGTTTGATACTGTATGAACCATTCGTACATTGCGTTTTCAAGATCGGGATATTGGACATCTCTTGATCTTTTCAAATTAGAGACATTTTCATGTTCCTTAATGTCATTTCGCTTCAGTAAACGTCCAACAGTCGTTGGGTTGATGTCTAAGTTAAATTAAAATGTTGTCTTAACCCATTGAGCAACATTTACTACTACTATTACATGGGTAGCATTGTAATTGGGGTTCCTGTCTTTGTTCTTGAGAACAAGTAAATTTTGCTTGTTTGTTAATGTAGTTCTTTTAATTTTTTCTTAAAGATTAAAGAGTAATAGTGATTGATCAACAGTATACAGTACTTAAATGGAAATGGTCTATAAATTTGATTGGCTGTTTAATTGAATCGTGCACTTATGGAGAATTTTTTACATAACAATAAGGGCCAACAAATATCATGCACTTATAGAATAGGGGGAACCCGCACTTATCCCATAGGTCCCAACATGGGACCAGATTATTTCCTGCATTTATTCGGTGGTCACGTGTTCTCGATAAGTCGGTCAAAGCCCAGCTGGGCCGACTTATCGAGGTTGACTTGTATCATTAATTTAAAAAAAATATATTAATACGCTCTTTTAAAATGCTTCTGATTGAGCTGTCATTTTATTTATATAAAAAGGTTTATCTCGACTCTAATTCTGGTTTGATGCAAAGTAAATTACCATTATTTTGATTATGATTGTAATTGTGCAAGACAGGAATTAAACCGACACGTCGTACAACGCATCACTCGATTAGCAAAATGTCACGTGAAAATATTAATATTAACAAAATTCTAGACAGAAACTCTCTTTGCCAGGATGACCTCTCAGAAACAACTCGTTGGAAAAGATTTTAAAGGTTCCCTTGACGAACTTCTTCAGGGCCTTGACATGCTCGAAGAAAATGGAAGCAGAGTATTACAGAAAATGTAATAAAAGGGGAAGCTTGTATAGTTCGTTAGATTGTTTTTTATGTACTTATGAAGCTATGGTAAACATATTTTCAGAGAAAATTCTCTATCCATCTCATACCCACTTACAGCAGCAATAGGTATTCTCTTTCGCTATTTAACTGACTTTCATAACCTTCTACCGACTAACTCTCAAATCAAATTTCTCGTGAATCTTTTTTTTTTAGCTGACCTGAACACTCTGTTAACGTTGTTACGAACGTTTGGTTCTCAAGCCACACAAGTTGGTGCAGCCAGTCTATCTCATGCATCATCTTTTACACAGGAGTACACATCTAATACTCTAGCCACCTTTACGAAGGTAAAGGATAGGTCATCTGCTGTGTTATTTAATAAAAAGGAACAGATACGCGCAAACGCACAGGCAGCTTGGATGGCTGTTCGTACAGAGCTGAATACAAGAGAGGGCGATTAAAGCCAATCAATTGTATTACTTATATAACATCGCATTATATTATATTAATGGAAGAAGACTTTATACGACGTGATCGATAAGACATTACGAATAGCAAATTAATTTAGTAAATGTCTAGTAAATGAAAGTAGCCTCGTTGAACAGTTTGCCTGTTGCAATTATCGGAGGTTTATCGCCAATAATTACTTCTGCTGTTGCTTCGTTGTACCATTGATAAATGTATGGCTTAGCCACCATAGCTAAATATAAAAAGGAAGAGTTTGATTCCACGTTAATTGAGAAATTATCGATTACAGTTTTTGCGCCCTCGCTACGTACCTTGCACAATTTTTTTTATGACGTAAGGAATCTCGTTGAGTACATCAATTTTGTCCATAAGTGTTTGTGGCCTAATTTTCAAATTTACTCTGAATGCCTCTTCAGATTCTAATGCCTTCCCATTCCATGTGTAATTAATCTCCCGAGGAATATGGTATCCAGTTTCCTCGTCCAACTCAGTCTCTAGGAATTCTACTGCATTCTTCACCGAAACTCCCACCAATTTATCCTTGACAACCAGACTGCCCTGATTAACTTTAACACTTCCATAAGCCGGTGTAGTTTCAAATTCCACCATCGATAAAGCTACTTCGTCCGAATGAAAATCAACAAAGTTCCAGCGAGTGGCAATAAGATGTGGTCTCATTCCTTGCAACGCATGCACGAATAAACCCACCCCGTTCAAATCAAAGGGTTTTCCATTAATAAAAACATTTCCCGATACCTTCCCTTTAGGCCAGAATTTGTGCTCGACAAACCCTGTTGACTTATCGCTGCCAAAGAATGTCTTGCCCTCGCCAATTTTGAAGCCACGGTCGACTCGCTCAAATACGAATGATATAAGTAGTTCATTGGCATGTACAAGAGAAACAGTATATTTAGTACATTCAGAGTTGAGTTCGATTTTCATACCATCAGTAGTAGCTGATCGGCGATCGGGAGAAAGCTTGAAGTTGGACATGTTGCCCGACTTAAACGTGTTAATACCATCACCAAAAAATCGGGCGCTAAATTGAATTGTGGGATACCAACTACACGACATACAAGTTGTTAACTATACAAAATTGATAGTTTGTAAATCTCATGTTAACTACTTAACCTACCCAATGTTTGAATGGAGCATCTGCACGAAACAAAAATGACCACTGTCAGTGCATATGTAGAAAGTTTGTGTCTCGGTAGCGGAACCAGATGCTAAGGTCCACTCGAGATCTCGAGCCGTCACATCAGAATATAGTACGTTCGTCAGTTCACCGGCAACATGTAAACTAGGTGCAGTCGCGGCGGCCATGTTTAAAGAATAATGGAACAGAGTTGGAAATCTGGAAGGGAGAATCTTGGCATAAACGTAGAATATACGAAGATCAAAACAAAGTTTTTAGACAATACCTCTCTAAATAGTATAAATAGTATGGAACAGAGATGTAATGAAAGTGAACAGCAAAATGTATTTATTTCAGTTTGAGCAGATATATATATTTGCTCAAATTGATTGGTAAGCTGAAATCTTCACATGACTTTAAATACGCAAGTTGTCATCTACTCCTTATAGTTATGTCTATTTCCTATGGTAACAAAATAATTTTAGCGCCCATGGTACGTCAAAAACTGTCGTCTTGTATAAAAATTCAAAGAATATTATACATTGCTGTGTAATCTTTTAGGTGCGTGTGGGAACTCTGCCAATGAGGCTATTGGCACTGGAGTTTGGTGCAGGTATTATAGTAGTCTTAGAGACATGGAGAATTAGTATATCCCCTGATAATGTTTCCCTCTCCTATAGACTTAGTATACTCTCCTGAGATTGTTGACAAGCGCATAATTGCATCCGAACGTCGCGTCAATAGTAAGTTATTTTGTTGGTATACTATTTCTACCTATGTTGGACGTAAACATTTGCGTTGAATGTCACATTTTATAGGTTAAATGAATTGTTTTTGCAGAAGCAACCGGAATAATCGAATACATCGATGAGAAGAATTCTATCAACTTTAGAACACATCCTTCTGAGAAATGTCGGCTGATTTTCCAGATTGGTACATCTGATCCCGAACTTGCCCTTCAAGCTGCTTTAAAAGTGTAAGTTGATTGGAAGTAGGTGCATCTTTGTTACCACGGCCTTTGTGCACAAACTTTGTTGCACGTTTTCCCCCAATTCATAGGCGATGCTGTTTGAATCTCTACTAAAAACGTGTAGCATATCCACAATCTTGATGAAGATGTTTGGCAAAACATTTACTGAAGGAGAATATCCAAACGCAAGCTTATACCCAACAGTGAATCTGGAATAGCTGATGTGATCCAATTCCTTAAGATTTTAGTCTAATGCTTAAGCTACATCTGATTATGACGAACTCATCCATATATATTTTTAGAAATGATTTTAGTATAAATTAGAGACAATGTTACTAGAATCGGTGAATAAACAGTATAACGAAATTTACATCTATCAGATTCATTACCATTTAGCCAATTATATTTACTAAGTCATATGTTTTGATTGCAACAGAAAAGAAGATGTTTCAGGAATAGATGTCAATTGTGGATGCCCAAAAAAGTTTTCTATTCAAGGAGGCATGGGTGCTGCTCTTTTGACAGATCCTGATAAGCTTAAAGCTATTTTGACAAACTTAGTTGAGAACTGCGGTCTTCCAGTTACTTGTAAAATTAGGATGCTAGAAACAGCAGAAGAAACGATAAAGTTGTGTAAGATGATTGAATCAACAGGCATCAAAGCACTTGCAATTCATTGTCGGTATGTAAGACCATGTTAATGTTGATATTTCAAATCTTGCACCAAGTGTTAACTAGAATTTATGTGTTTTTGCCAATAGAACAAAAAATGAGCGTCCTAGTGACAAGGGACATTGGGAAATCTTTAAACCTATCGTTGAGAATGTGAAATCAATACCTGTCATAGCAAATGGTGACATATTTGACAGATCTGATATACAAAAAGTAAAGGAACTATCAGGTAACATGTTGTGACGACTTGTGTTTAATATTGAGTAGATTAAGACTTGATAATTAATGATATTACAGCTGTTAGTTCAATAATGATTGCTCGAGGTGCACAGAGTAATGTATCCATATTTTGTAATGAAGGGCTATTACCAAAAAGAGAGATTGCCATAATGTATATTAAAAAGGTGAGTACAGTTTCTTTTAGCAGGGACTAAAGAATAATCACTTATCTCTCTTATGTTTAGGCAATCAATATTCACAACAACTACGCCAATACAAAATATACACTTATGCAAATATATGCAGATTCTGTTAAAGACAATGAATATCATGCATTAGTAAGGGCAAAGTCCTATGAAGATCTTTGTGAAATATACAGCTTACAGAGTTATCTCAAAGAGCATAAACTCAGATAAACAGCACGTACATAGATTTATGTTTAGCCGTTAAAATCTACAAAATCCATACATACTTTATTACAATAAATTAGTTGCAAATTTGCGTAGAGAATTCAGTTAACAGAACATTATTTATGACTGTATTCGAGATATTCGAATAACGAAATTAATTCTAACAGATCAGACATGATTTGTCTTTGGTATAAAACCGATCATACCGTAATGAAATTGACGTCCACTTGTGAATTATGACATAATGAGCGATGCGATTGCATTACAAAAAGTTAGTACGAACTTACTTAGCAATAGAGCCTGTTTTACTCAACTAACATACTAAAAATTGGGGTTACGCGGCTTAAAAGTCTACACTATAAACTGTACCTAAAATTTACATCATCTCGTAGACGCAAAAAGGTTAAATAAAAATATCTTGCTTCATCGACGAGAAAATAAAATTTTACTTAAAATATCTGAAGCCACGAGCCCATGCATACAAGCGCCTCCGCATAAATTGAAATGTGAGCGTTTTTCATAAAAAGTAATAAATTAGAATGGTAGCATCAATTAAGACACAAACTCGGTAAATCGTATCGAAAGCCACGTGATTAAATTGGTAAACTTTATAAGAAAGCGAATCGTTAGAGGGAAAACCGTTATTCCAAATAAATATCTATGCTCGTTTGTGTTGAAGAATCGGTTTGCTTCTCCTCAACTGAAACTAATAAACTGTTATTTTTATATCGTTATTCTGCTGCAAATGGTTGGGAAAAATTTGGATCTTTCTAAAGCCGCTTCGTTGGAAATCTCGTTTTCGTATCTATTGTTTGCAATACATTGTAGCATACAATCAGACGCGTGATTTGACATTTAGAATACAAATTTGATATTAGCGAGATACCTTCTCTAAATATCATGTAAACATATGAAAAATCTTTATTTTCGCAAGTCGCTATTATCCGTATTTATTATAAAAGGAACAATGATTTGGTATCGTTTTGAAGCTGATTGATTGGACTTGTCACGGTGTGTGGAAGAGCAGTATTTCTATAAGCGGCAGTTCAATGAAGTCGCAGCGTATAGAAATTATGTCATAATAATGTGGTTTAATGTATTTAGTATCATCATTTATTTCAAAAAATAAACCAATTAGCTTCAAAACGATACCAAAACCGTTGTTCCTTGCATAGTAAATACGGATGATAACGATTTTACTATTTGATCGACAGGGCTTAAATAAATGTGCCGCGTCGTACACGTCGTACACCCGAAGATCTGAATAATAATAAGGATTTTCACGGAACATCTACAACTACGTCTAATACTAATACTAATACTACTAATACTCCCTCTCGGTAAGTAATTGACAACTGTTCCTCCTCAAGAAAGACATCTAAAATGCAAGCCAAAGAGTTACAAAAAAAATTGTATACATTCTGGTTCAATGGTAATAATAAAGTATCTTGCCTATATTCCAGCATAACCTTGTGCCGATTAACTTAGTTAAGGTTAATAGACTTCAAGTATGGAGATCCCATCTCAAACGATTTGATAACGAGGTGGTTTAACGGTGGTAAGGCCGTAGACGATGCCTGTCGTGAAGGGTTTGGAGATGTGCTAGAGGAGATTAAAAACGAGAGAAAATATATTGATGAAATGAAACAAACGCCTCAGGTTAGGATCCTGTATAGTTTAGTGTGTTAACGGTCGAGTTTATGAAGATAACAGGGAATGAAATTCCCTTGGTTTGGTACTTTTTATTAACTAAAACAGGGCGCACTCAGCCTAGTAATTCTTCTCGATCAACTTCCTCGCAACATTTATCGTAAGACTGCCATCCCTTTCCGGGTATTCGATCCAATGGCACGGGAAATAACTCGTTACGTCCTTGAGAATAAGTGGGACGAACAAGTAAATCACATCGAAAGAATCTTCTTCTACTTGGTAAATGTAGATCACGCCAGCTTAGTTTCGCTTAATCACAGCATATCAATTCATATTCTCGTTTCTCAAATACGTTACAGCCCCTTGAACATTCCGAAAATCTGCAAGATCAAGAACTCTGCATGCAGAAGTCACTTGAAAACTGGAATTCGGCTCCTCCTGTATATCAAGGCATTTTGAAAACAGATCATGACTTTGTTTTGGAACACTATGAGATAATCAAGCGTTTCGGCAGATTTCCTCACAGAAACCAAGTGCTCGAGAGGGAATTTACACCGGAGGAAATTGAATACATGAAGAGTGGACCAAATACATTTGGCCAGTAGAAGTGAACGATAAAGTTTTAACACAGTATGTCCATATTATTATTTATTTCGGGTTATTTACAATCATATCAGTTAATGTACGTCAAGTATTATATGGTCATAAACATTTCTAAATTGTTCGAGGACCATGAAAGTGACTATTGTGTGAGGGGTAAGACGAATGAATGCTGGCAGCCAACCTTTGAAAAGCGCTGCCGGGCCTTCTTTACGGATAATTAGAGCAAGACTGGCAACGACTCCCTGGTAGACAATTAGATTCAATGTTACACATATAGTCAGAATTGTAATCGAGAGATTGATTATATATACCTTTGTTGATCCAGCATCACTCATAATGCGGGTCTTAATGACGTCAAGTGGCGAACAGACCGTCGTCGCGACCAAACCCTAGCAAATCACCGGTCTTAAAACTAAAGCTATTTGATAACAGAATTTTCGTTGCCCAACAATTTTCGACTTACCGATAGAGAACTGGCACCGAAATGCGTTATATAATTATCCTTGAATACCCCCGTTCCCAATAACAGTTCCTTAAACTTATCATATGTTGCCAATTGTGAGGCAGTCATCAGAATGGCTCGATTTACATTAGGCCCTATACCCCGGAAAAGTCCGCGGAATGTTTCCTCTCGTTGAATTTTAATAAGACCATCAATGGCATGCTTATAATTATATCGCTCGTTCAGAGGACGCTTAGCGTCATTCTGCATGCGTACCATTACGACATCCGCAGGATTACCACACGCACCGCCGAAGCTACCTGCCGCTGCAGCACAGAGAAGCATCTTGAAGAATGGAAGTTGTTCTGAGAGTCAGAATGGGTAGAAAGTGTATGTAAGTAAAAGATGCCGCATTGTCTTCTTTTTTCCCCCTCCCGTGTAAAAACCTGGTCCGGTTCACTAGTACTACTATAGTCCTTTGTTTTGGATTGCTGTTCGCTTTTAATCTTACACGCAGAAATCGCACCAAAGTCTACGTGGAAACGGTATTCCTGGATAATCCAATTTTATCTCTTTTTTTTTCGGTATCCTATATAACCTACAATCTATTCAAAGCTTTACAAAGCAGAGTCCATAAAGAAAGGCATAATAACAACAAAGTCGGTTTAACTTGCTCAATGGCGATCGCAAATTTTTCATGCCACTTCTTAAACAAGCCTATTTGCTTCCAAAGAAGATGAATACATTTACAATAAAGTTTAAAAGAAAGTTTCACTATGTTTTATTATAAAGTGTTGACGACCAATTTAGATGACTATGTGGTCGTTAGATCATTGCTTTCATGTCATGATGAATTATTTACCTCCATCCCTCGAGAGTGCATGTTTAAACTTGTCGTAAGCGCCGAAACGCGTAGTCGAATACGTCCCTTGTCGCAATAAACTAGCGGACAATCCCTTGTATAATCCTCTTACACCTTCTATCCGTATGATATTCTTGAAAGTCTTAACCGCACTACCTCTTTGAGCATTAGTAGTCTGGAGACGTACTTTTATCAAATCAAATGGATGGCTTACAGTCGCTGCTACTCCTGCTGCTGCACCTGAATGGAAATGGAATATCCAATCTCAGTAACGTTGAGAATCATCAAAACTTATGGTGAGAGAGAAGGTGAATTTATACCAAGAACTTACCACCAAACCAGAATGGGTATGCTACCTTTGTGACAGGTTGTGCGGGAGGCACACTTTCTGCTCTTACTGTTGCGCTTCCCGAACTCATATCTGCAGGTAAAAAAAAAAAAAAGAAAGAAAGAAAAGTTCTCTGAATTCAATTTATCATGACGATACGATAATGTACTTTGTTAATCCAACCTGTATGTACCACTAGACCTTCAATACATTTTTTGTATTAATTCATGTGATTCTGCTGCACGTGTTTCTCGATAACGTTGCACGTTGGTAGAATTTACGAAATAATGATACAATTTATTAATATAATAGATTATTCCGTTATTTCAGAACAATCTGAAATAAAGTCTCAATAATAATAATACTACTACAAACACAATTCTTTTTGTTCAAGTGCTGGTCCATCTTTCGCATGGTAAAATGATGTCGTTAAAATAAATGGATTAAACATAAACAAATTTCACCAGCCCAAAAAGCTGTACAAGTGTTACACTGTAACACCCCGCCTCAAAAGTTACTCGTACGGAAGAGACTGTCGAATTCATTAAATAAAAGTTATCTAACTAGTGGATCGCACTCCACAGATTTTGACATTGTTGCCATTGAGTGACCTAATGGGTCCCCTTCTCTCGCTTCTGCGTTTGAAAGAGAAAGACGACGACAATTACGAAAAAATACTCTCGGAACTCGATGAACAGATAAGCACTTCGGAGGTTCGCCTATGTGACATAAAACTTCGCCAGAAGCGGTCGACAATCTTCTGGCTTGCATTTTCTACAGTGCTGTATATTGCCTACGTGAGTGGTTGGTACTTCTTTGGCTGGAAGAGTAAGTATGACGAGACATGGCAGTTGTGGCTTCTTAAACTATTTCCAGTATTCGCTTTCCCCTGTATAATATGGATGGTTAAAAAGTTCATGAGCATGTGGTATAGACGTAAAGAAGCCAACGAAAGGTCGCAATTGAAACATCTCGTTGCAAGAAAGAAACTCAAAATTGAAGAGTTGAAGAAAAAGACAGGATATTACGCGACACAGAATTTAATTGAACGTTTTGATGTAAATAATTCGCAGAAAAGTCTAGCCAAGTCGGTAAATTTTCCCGCTCTACCAAATGAATGGAGTCAAAACGATGCTCATTTTACGGATAATAGTCAAGTGCCCGCTACAGGATTGCGGCTTCGTCTGCCTACCTCAACCTCGGAAACAAAAGACGAGTCTTCTCTGACACCGCCTGGTTACTATAACACAACAATACCCCCTTCAAACACTCCTCTTAAACGAACTTGGTATGATCGAGTAATTGATCTGCTTGCTGGAGAGGAGGGACCATATAAGAAATATGCTCTGATATGTTCTAACTGTCATGCACATAATGGACTTGTATCGCAACAAGATCTCAACGACGTGCAATATTTCTGCCCGAAGTGTAATCATTTTAATCCATCACGTCGGAGCAAGAGAGATGAGACCAATGGTGCAGTCAATAGCAATAATAACACTAATAATGAGGATAATGGAAGTAGTAGGAGAGGGAAAGGTGTTAACAAACAGAGTGGAAGTATTCGGTCTCCTACTCCTCGGCGTGGCCGATCTACTACTCCTAGACCCACGACATCTTCCAACGAAATGATGAACAATGAAATCACAACAGATGACTACGATGATGATGGAGTGGCAGTTAGTAAGCGACTGGCTTCTCGCTCGACTAGCCGACGAAGAAGGGCGGGCAGTCATAGTCAGAGCAGGCTTGAAGATAGTGAAGAGGAGGGTATGCGTCGATATGAGACGAGTGATGAAGAATACGTTAGTCGGAGAAGGATACATGAGTAGGAGAAAGATACATGAGTAATGGTAGTTGTATTGGTTACTTGATTAATTAATTGAGTTCACCATATATAGTAATAGTGGATTTTGCAAACTTTTAATTATCTGTAAATTCAGGTTGTTGTTTTTTTTGTATTCTGTTGGGAATGATTATTATTCGATAGACTTTACCATTAGATTTCATGTGTCGAACATGAATATCAATCTAAATATTCAATATATTTGCGATAAATCTTTATTGCCGTCAGATCGGATTCGTTGTAATAAAAAATTCTACCGTTTAGCACACAATCATTGCCCGGTCTCAGCATGAACATGGTAGTAATTAGTTTCCTCAACAAGTTCACTTAGGCGAGATGTAACCTTCTTCATTTCATTAGCAGTCTTACAATCCTAAAATCGATGGAGATCAGCGCCAATATAGTTCAATACCAAATAGTGATGTAACAGGCATATTTATACTACCATACCAATTCACTAACCCATAATTCATAGGCTAAGGCATATTTCTTCTGAAGAGACGCATTCGTTGTGTTTGTAGGCATGACCAGGCCTTTCTTTTCCTCCAGTTCAATACAATGATGTACGAAGGCAAGCTCTCCCTCTTGATCAGACCACGTACCTATTGCGCTAGCGGAATTGTTGCTATCCGACCTATCTATCAGTCCATACGCGCTTCTGTTGATATCATACCATCTACATGCAAATGACACAAATCTCAAATGATACCACAATGTTTCATGACCAGGATATGTCAGTATTAGATCTCTAGTGAATAATACTTCATCTCGCCATAATTGTATAATCTCGTTACTATTTTTACTGGGAAGATAGACGCTATCTTTTCTTCTATTCCACAAATCATTACGAGAGACCCCACATAAATCGCGGTTCTCCTGGTCGTTCAACATATGTCGCTGAGTCATTACGATCAGACATCTCTGTCGATGTTGCATACCAGAGTAATCGGATACATTCATTCTAATCCATTGTTTCATATTCTGTAGCTCATGTTCTAATAAGATAAAGGAATCATGTGGTATCTTTGAGACTACCCAATGTCTATAATTCCATGCATAGTAATTCTTTGGATATACTTCGGCTGCTCGCTGGGCAAGTAAGAGTTCATACTTGTATTCCATTAGATGAGGGTAGGCTTGAAGGAGCCATTTTCTTATTACAGTATATATCCATCAGTTCAACTTTCATTAGCAATGGTCCAAAGAGTATAAAGTTTAGGCAGGTACCTGTGATACCATGCAACCGAGCTTCTTGAGTGTTTGGGAACGGTGAATATTAGAGCAAGGAGATTGAGTTCCTCTGATGGGTCTACAATACCGTGACTCACCAACACCTTTCTGATCGAAATGCAAATGTTAGCGGATGCAAGTCTTTTACTATATTAACTATATAACGAGTTACGTATTAATACCTGGCATTTACAGCAGTATAACAGTCTGGGTTTATCAAAACCAGGCATCGGCTAGCTTCGTCAATCATAGCCGCTACTTTGCTTTCATCTAAATCATCTATGTTTTCTCAAGGTTAATATGTAAAGACTATTTGAAAAGATAGTAGTAAATCTTTGTCAAACAAAGAACCTCCACTCCTCCGTGTACTCATGAAGATCTCATGGGCATATTGAAACAGTTTATTTGCACAATCAACAGGTATTCCCAGTTTTGCTTTCTCATCAACGATCAATGGGTAATTATTATCGTGTGAGAGAGGAACAGGCGGAGAATAAGGAAGTATGCCTATTTCATCGCTGAAGTGAAGAGATATCAATCGAGAATTTGTATATAGCTTTGTTGTTAGCAAGGAAGAAGGAATTATCAGATCGAATTACATGGCATAGTTCGTGAGGACTGTGTTAAATTTTTCGTATATAGCTTTCCCATCCATAAATTTTCAACGTTCTGTTTAGGAAAATATGATAACTTGTTATGAAGATATGACGTCACCATAGTTTTTATCAATATAGTTATGTCCAATACCCTTAATCATTCGCCGAATTGTGGATTCTGGGAAGCCAAGAAGTCGGTTAATACAGCTTTGAACATGCACTGCTCATGAGCGATAAATTCTGAATTCCCTTAACCATAAGGAGCAACTAGCGAACGGGTACTAAATTCATTATCAGTTATATTACAATTTGGATCCGCATAAACGTTTCCCCCTTCCCTAGTGTATATAAGAGAGCAATTCAGGTCACTTCAAACTCTAATTTCATGACCAGGATTGGAAAAAATGAGAACAATTTTGAGGAGAACAAGTTGCTCAGACGTCTTTAAAATAAATGGTACCCAAACTCTTTGATAAGAAAAAATAAAATAAACCCAACAAACTGATATAATGTAGGGATCATTAGCCTAATGATGTATTCTGTTGAAACAAGGTTACGCTCGACGCCTTGCCAAGAGTTAATACTTAAACACTGAACTAAGAAAGAGTATATATAGTTCGACATGACGCCAAGCGAAATGCTAATAGCTCTACGCTTGTTGGGTTATGTTTTCCTAGATCTTAGAAGAAATACGAGTATTCGCCAAGGCGTGTGGTTATCGTGGCGAGTCATATGCATAGCGGCTAATACAAATATCACACATGAAGCAAGATAAGAAGAACCCTCATGTTTAGTCCATCGCATTCACAGATGCCGTAAACAACGGTAGCCTTTCCCTATTGCTGGTAAAAACTCTTATTTCATAATGCATCCCAATGATTCCACCTTTTCTACACTGAACTATTCTAACCACTGTATCATTTCAATCGATATTACACATTTTTATTTCCGATATTAATTCAGTAATCTTATTATGTTCATATATATTTCCCTTATTTAACATATAAGCATATTCCCGACGACGAAGATAATATATCATCACTTATCATATAACACTGGTGAAAATAAGAACTCAAGCACCAAAGGAAGCTTTATTTCTACTGCAAGAGGGGTGCTGAACGTATAATGAATAATATGTACATATTATTAATCCTATATATATATTATATAGCAAGATCACAAAAAAAGATACTTGGGATACAATTATCAATGTCCATATTTACAATTTCCTTCGATACACCGTGTATACTCATCTACATGTAACGACAATTAAAAGTTTATCAATGTATTAGTTACGAGTATAACCCATCAACCACATGTGAACTCATTACTTACCCAATTCATCAACTAACGCTGGCCATCATCCTAGCACGCTCAGGTATCTGCATACTGTATGCATATCTCGCCGGCGATGATGGTTCATATGTTCTAAACATTCTTTCATTCACCATTCTTGGTTGTGGCAAACACCCGCCACTAATAGCAGACATCAATGACAGACTAGCAAACGACGGTAAAGTATGTTGACCGTTATATAAAATCGACGACTTTTTATCTGTAAATGTCATGGGCGACTGTCCTCCGCAATTTCTAAAATGTGAATTAAATATGCTGCTTTCATTCTCATCTTCACTCGATTGGGCTTCATTCGCATTAGGCGAGTACATGTTATCGATACTATCGCTGCTGCATCGATGCTTTATGTGCCTGTTGTCCAAGATGGGAGAGCACAAACTAGGTGACGGAGGAAAGTAGTCTGTTATCTGCATCTCCGGCGTTTGTGGCATTTCGGGTGTAGGCGGGCAACCTTGCGTTGGAAATGACGACTGAAAGCGTGTCGGGCTAGAGTCTGTTGTCGAAGTCTTATTTGTATGTGTTGGCGACGGAAGTACTGGGGAAATAAAAAACAAGTATATGTAATAAGTAAGAAGACAGTATTCATTGCGAAACATATTGTATGATATGCAGAATCTATTTACCAGTTGGAAAATGCTTGATGGGGACATTATCAGTAGCATTTGTGCTAACGTGTATTTTTCCATCAGTCTCAGTTGATTGCTTTAGGCTGTTCTTTTTTGCGCGAGCTTTTTGTGCCCATCTACATGTATATTTCAAAAAGGCTTATTAACAGATGTGGGATGGGATAACCAAACATTGTTATTCAGAATTGCGACATTCTATTTACGTTCATTTAACATCTATTCTATAGGATATATCAACATTGCTGAGTACACAAATCACTTTATATTGTACCTTCGCTTAGATAACAACATTCTTTCTCGCCGTTCAGCATCAGACTTTGGTCTATTCGGATCATTATCCCAACGGGTTCCACGGGGAACGTCGACGGCATGTTTGTCTTTCAGATGCCTTCTCAGGATAGATCTCGCGTTTCGACCTTTATAACTTTTTTCGCATTCGGTACAGTTCCATACTTTTTCTTCTGATCCTTGAGAATTGTTTAGCCGTGTCGGGAGCATTCGTGGTAGTGTTTCCTGATGTAATTGTGGGGTATACATTTGCGAAACAAAAGTTTGCGAGTGTCTCTCTGTTAAACTCATGGGCTGCTGCTGACAATGTGCGTTGAATTGCTTTCGTTCAATAGACAACGTGTAGGGATTAAGGTTGAGGTGTGCAAGTGGAGGTAAGATCGTATTGTTGCTTAGGGTAGTAGACATCGGTCGGCATACACTTACAGAAATAGCGTGTGTTTAGGAAAATGTGTCGTCGGGAAACTTAGAAGTTATTCTAATACGTGAATGATAATAATATACGGTCTTGAAGTGAGAACGAGTCGAATGTTGTCTTGGAGAAAAGATGTGAACTCCACATTCTCGCGTCATTTATATTACATTCTGATCACGAGCATTTAAAGCTAGACGAGTTAAGTTCTAACGCGTCTGTTTTGATTTTGAAATTTTTACTTTGCGCGTTAGTATACAAATATGTTAGTCGGTCAGCTATTATTGACCTAATTTGGTATAGAGACTGTGCACCAATACTGATTAGGTTGATTTGAGACAATGAATTCACTGAACTCTCGCACGTGTGCGTTGTACATTGCATTCACAATGTGAAAAGAATGTAAACAGTTTGTTCCAAAATAGAACCATATTTCGCGATTGTCGTGGATGCATGCATGAACGTCTACGCGTTGTTGTGCAGATATTTAGGTTACGCGATTTGTTTTGGTAGTTGACTGGTCGCGTAGATGTTCGCGAGTTACGCGATACATTCCCATACACACCAGGGAGGGGCTTTACCCCGTTCATGTCAAGCAAATTTGCAACCGAGGATTACCATCAATAAGAACGCAACTACGCGGGCGGGAAAACTCTAATAACTGTGAGGCCGAGTATAGAGCTAAATCTCAAGGTCAGCTCTCCCTCACAACTCGTTCAATGACCATTTTCATATGCCATTTATTAACTGACTCGTGCCTGATCATTCACTGTCTATTCAAGAATATGATTAGTTCAAAGGTATCTATGCTCGCAAATGATATTAGGGCTTATCCATTATATAATTTCACATGACCAATAAATATAAGGGGAGAATCGAGGAAGCATTGGAGTCATAATCGAATGTCACGCCAACCTGAGTTGGATTTCATTCGCCAAATTCATCCGACAGATCGTTTTCTTAGAATATAACTGACAATGAGTTTAATGCAAATGCATTCGAACAAACGTGACTTAAAACTGCAACTTAACTCGTTTGCCAAATTAGAAACGGTAGTAAGACTATTTCTGGTTTAAACTCTTTCATTGGAACCCAATCTTTAATAATCCGTATATGTTACAACAGACTATACAATACTTTATTTGCTCAACGGCACACTTGGCTTATATCATCACGCAACTTTGAGTGAATTGCGTAGAAACGACAACTCCTGTAATATCGAAGAAAGTTCAATATACACATATTTATACAGACTGCCTTAATATTAAACTAGATGATACAAGTTAACATGTTGATTCTCACATTAATGGTAAATATTCATAATAATCAATCTCACGACTCCAAACTGCTGAATCTCCTCCTGGTGCTAACGTCTGCTTCAACATTAATCCTCTTGCCATCCAGTGACATCTTCTGCAGGAATTATCGTTTATCCTTGCGACTTTCGAGAAACCTCCGTTTTGATTAATTACATGTAACCATTTCCATCATAATGGCCATTCGCATAGCCTGTTTGCACGTATTGGTTGGTAGGTGGATTGCTTGTCCCAGGCACATATGGTGGAGGGTACGATGGGAAATAATAGTATACGTTGGGATCATAGTAATACACCGTGCCGTTCGGGTCTGTATAATACGGCATTGGCACTGTACCATCTTGTGGATATGTAATTGGAGGATGCTCATAAGAAGGCCCTTGATAATTAGGGTGATCGGGTGAGTAACTATCATTGCCATCATTAGAGTCGTAAACTTCTGTGGTATTCTCGGTATCAGCTGAACGTTCAGACTCTGCAAGTGGCTCCGATTGGTTAGTCAAGGAGCGGGGTTGGAATGGTTTGGCATATATTGCTGTACGGTACAATTACAGATCCTCATTAATGGAGTATCCCGGAAAAGGCTATCAAAATATTTGGTACTCGACTATATTCAAAGTAATAGAAAGTATTCCTCAAAAACACTCACCGGACGCTGGGATAGACCCTTTCGTTTCTATCTTAGCTTGTGCATCCTTCTCGGGAGATGAAGGCACCGTATTGGCGGTGGCAGTAGCAGCTGCCCGACGCGTTGAGTATCGCTTGGACGCTGACTGTGCGGACTGTCCGCGATCTGTTTCAACAACGGTCTTTTCTGCTTGTGCAAGAACCTCATGCTTAGCAATTGGCACTTCAACGAGTTCCCCGGTCACCGGCAATGTTACGCGTACTGTTGGTGTTCTATGAGCATTACTCTCGTGTTCAACGTCCTTATCTGATAAATCTAGAGACGGCGCTTGCGTAACAACTGAACCATGATGAGTTGATTCTTGAAGACGTTGGACATAATCTTGAAGAGCATTATTTGGCGATTTTGGATGTTCTAGTATTATTTCAATGTCAGATGATTCTTGAGACTGTAGTAAATCGTCCTCCTCATTGTCCTCTCCAGTATCATTCTCCGAAGGAGGCTGTACTGTTGTCCTATCAGTCGTCACAGATTCCACATCTTTCGTTGCTTCGGTGTTGGTAGATGACTCTGGTTTAGAAGCCTCAGCGTCGTCATTAGCTTTCTCTGCTCGGTCAAAGTTTCCCTTGTCTTGATTATCAATACTATTAATATTATCTTTTTCGTCTACAGCTATATCCTCGATCTCTACTTTCCCAATAACTACTGGGTCTTCCGTTCCAACAGGAACTTGCTTAACTTCAGAATTTACATCCCTGTTATTTCGGGGTTTATGACGATCGAAATTGAGTCTCCCATAGTCCTGACGTTTCTTGAATTTTTGGTTAACATTGGCCGGACTTCGCATTGTATTAAAGTTATTAGGCGGCTGCTGAAAATGCATACGAGGTTCGCTCACGAATTTTGGCCTATGACTGTTGACAAAGTTTCTTGGTTGTCCTCGATTATTATTGTGCATGCCATGAGATCGACCTAGATGATAGTATTCGATAAGAGTTAGTCAAAATTGCCATCGTACAAGTTCCGGTATGCAATGAATAACATGAGACAGACCATTGAAGGTTGATTCAACGGATTTTGGTGTTGGTTGTGAGTGAATCGAACGTACGCTATCTGATGGACGTGGAGGCGGACGACGAAATTCTTGTGGTTTCTGTGAAAAATGACGTGTTGACTCGAATTGCGGTGGAAGTGATCGTCTGCTACCAAATGGCCCATGTGGTGGAGGACGAGGAAACTTTTGATAAGAGATGACGTTAGATCCTATATAGTCGCCATCGATCCAATACTCGAGATATACCTGATTATGACCTCTGTTGATCGATGGATACTTCTTTTCTTCTTCGGCTTCCATTTTCATCAGCTCTTCAAAACCATCATGACCCCATTTTCCAGCCGGGGATGGGCCGTCGACATAATCCCAGCCGTCTTTGCCTCTGTTCAACGAAAAAACGTTAGTGCCTTTGAAAATATGTATACATTCGTTATATTTTCATAACTGACTTTGATGCAAATGGAAGCTGGCTACGACGACGAAAAGAGTCATTCTTTAGACCATCGTCCATGAAGCGGTCATCATGGCCCCAGAATTCCCCAAGATGAGGTACAAACGCCGGATCCTCCGCTAGTTTCTTACGGTACTCCTGTCTTGCTTGAACTTTTTTTTCCCACGCTGTAGGAGGCCTTGATAGATCGTTGTCTGTTATTTCTTTTTCTTTCTGCACGCCTTTTTCTGAATGGGTGTCTTCGGTTCCTGCTTCTTCTATATGCAAAGAAAAGATCCTATTGAAATGAATTTACATTCTTTGCTTCTTCCGCCTACGTCATACTAATGATAAATAACATACCGTCAATGCTAACTTCAGCGTGAGTCTCTTCCACGACGTCGTCTTTTGGTGACTCATGGCCAGATTTCTCTGGCGAATGCTCAGAGATACGTTCCGGCGTTTCCTCTTCACCCTCACTTGGTGTTAATTCTGAATCTGCGTCGTCCTCGTCGGATGAGACATCGGACTGTGATATGTCGCTCAGAACAAGAAGTCCCTGTGCGATCGTTGTGTCTTCTTCGTCTTCGGAGTGGACATCGGCGTGCGGCTCTCTTCGCCGTAAGCGGGTTACTCTCGTCATTACAAAATTCTATGGTTTGTTATTGTTATTTCTTTACTAATTATTGTATTAAGTAATTGCTTATACTTTATGTATGCGAACGAACTAATTTCAGGGGTTAAAAGTGGTAAGCCACAACGGGCAACTTGCACCAACGTGATAAGATAACGTTAATTATTTACTATTAGCATTACTATGGAGATTAGATTTATTCAATTTCCGACTTCCTCATCACGTCATAGCTTATTTTTATTTTGTTCTACTTTATATACCAATAGTAATAGTAAAGTCAATTTCGATTTTCCTCATCCATGTTTTTTAATAACTCCTGGCGACTAAAGAATTGTGTCTGATTTGCGTAATCATATTTGCTGACGTGTATAAGCTTGGGCTTGTATGATTAACACAACTTTCCTTCAACGCTAATATTGTCTTTATGCACTTGACTAATTCTAGATGGGCCATCCCGTTGTTGTAATCTGCTCTATCGAAGGCACACGACCATTATTCCAAATGTTGTTATTATAAAATTAATGTCGTAAAAATATATATTTCGATTGAAATGCTTCAACGCCAATAGAAATCATTTGATCTGTATAATTACTAACTATGCTTCATTTCCACCTACTATATATAATACATTCAGTATCGTTATCTGTCTCGTAATACATGCGATAAAAAGCTGCATCAACAAGTGTACTGCTATTACACATTGCTGTTCTAATATCTTATCTTCAACAATGGTTTCGTAACTGTTGTTGGGCCGGAAGCTCCCAAGTTTTCGAAGTACTGTAGGTCATGGTTTACATAAGGTAGTACAAAAAACCAACTTGGATTTCACGTTCATTCTTTTCGCTGTGGATTAATACTCCTGTATTTACCAATTACGCTAGTCTCGTACTCATATCACACGACATTAATCCGTATCTACAGTAGACTAAATGCTTCGCGTAGTATTTCAATACTCCGTTATTATGTCCCTATACAATCTTAGAGTAATTATCCTCTGCATTCAGTAGACGGTTGATTAAATTCTACTACTACATGCAATGTAATTTGATAGCGATTATTACATTCATTATTGTACCAGTGCATTTTTAACCACGTTGCTCTTCATCATCTTTGGTTTTTTCAAGTAAACGCAATAATTATTCATTACATAATTCCAATTTTATCTCGTATGAAAACGTTTATTTTCTGTTTAGTAAAATTTTGAACTATAATAATGTCAGAGAATCACCCTCCCTTCATTATTACTTTCGTAAGGTAAAGCGTTGAAACTTGCTTCTCTCTAGGTTCTTTTTATAAAAGACAAGTAATTTGTTATTATTATTTCATGGTTCGCAAACCAGTAACACATCCATTGTTTCTAACCATACAACTAATACAGGCTTTTAAACATCTGAAGTGAGTATGTCACAACATACCAATTTTAATCCAGTACTTGATAACGAATTTTTAAATATTGTATTACTTTTATTTTGTCTACCTTATATTCAACTGTTACTCGTAGAGTTTTCTTAGCCATATTATTCTTTGGGCTGCTGGTGCTGAATTAGCCTTGACTTCGTCCCTCATTGCTAAATTAGGTTATTTAAATTTTTATTCTTGTTTAAACGCGAAAATCTTTTAAAACAAATAAATGCCCCAAATCTTGAAGAATTGGAGCAGTTTATGGTAGATAAATGGATGGGTATTTCAGAAACCACTCTAATGAGATCAATAAAAGTTGTTGTGAGCGCATAATTGAAACTAGGGGAGAGAGAATTTCTTATTACTAAAATTTGCTTGTTTTCAGCTTTCGAACGAGGTACAGTGCTTAAAATTCTTATTCCGGGTTTTTTCTTAACAAACTGTACATTTGGACTATTTAGACATCCTATATTAATATATCATATACTTCAAACATATCCTTCTCAATTACTGACCTCTTTTTGTCTCCTCATTCTGGCCTTTGGTTAATTTCCTTTCTTCCCCTTTCTACTATATACATTAGGCCAGGCTTCTTTATTATTTTCAGTTAGTCTTGTAGATAACGTTTGCTTTCTCACGCATTAGTAGTCTTTATAGTGGACCTCCGCTACAGTGGATTTCGATTATTATGGAAAACTTTTTTCCTTCTAATTAAACTAGAGAGCGTCTCTATATAGTGTATGTGTTACAAATAGATATTATGGAATAATCTCGTGTAGTGGAGGGATAATAATTTGTCAAATTAGAGCGACGAAAAGTTTTTCTTCTTTGTTATGGAGAGATAATCAAGGAACAAATGACAGATGAGGAAATTGTCAAGTTTGTAGGTGGTGAAGAAGTTCAAGAGCCGGAGAATAATGAAGAGACAAAATACTTGGTAAAGTAAATAATGCTTTGGAAGAATTACAAATGTAAGAAAATGATCTCGTGGGGTTGATATTGTAACTATAACTATGAGAATGTTAAGCATCAAACAAGCATTGATATTCGCTATAGTAATAGTATTAGTATATCACTATGTGGTGAGATTTCCTTTTGTGGATATCTCGTGGGATTTTTTGTCTCACACTATAAAGAGTCACTGTGTACCGTAATTGAGTTGATCACTTCAAAAAAGGTAAATTCATTCTCAGTTGGCTGCCTTATTTAGTGTGTTAGTCGGTTTTGGAATAGACTCTTCACACGGAATTTTCCCAAAAAGAATGGCAAGGTTGGCAAAATATGAAAATCTTAAAAGTTGTAGTTACTTGATGATTGTGCTGTAGTTACTATATTAATATTAATCTTAATCTTTAATTAATTAAGTCATGTGACATCAATTTTATGTCGAGCACAATTTAATTTCGGGTTCCTGAGTTGCGTTGTTGTTGGTATGTCGGCCAGTTTGTCACAGCCGCATCTCTATAATAGATAATACAAGAGACGCGTCACCATAATAATGAGAAAAGGTCTACTCTTCATGTATCAGCGATTAAGACAATCACTTCTTGTTATCTTTTGCTTTGAATGCCCTTTGGAGGATTATTGTCAGTGATCTTTTAACGTGATTTCCTTTACCCATTCGTGGCAAGTTCATCTTTGAATTTTCGTAAACAAATGCTGTTAGTGTGAATTCTTTAGTCCTGTAAAATCAAACTATAGTAATGAGGTCCGATTTAGTACGGGCATAATGTAAAAAACGTGTCGGCCCAAGTCTCGAAAATTTTAGAACACTTCCGTTAGAAAAGACGTTCTACTCATTGTGCTCAAGACGTCCGTGCTTAGAAGGTTTATTGGCTATACTTATAACTAGCCTTGGAGTGATAGCATTGCTTTGAGGGAGTTTAAAATGATAAGGTTACAAACTTTTCTGGAAGCCAAGAACAGAACTGACTTTAGTATGCATTTACAAACAAACATCTCGAGATCAATTAACTGACGTTTGACTATTATTTTAACGATAAAGTACCCATAATAATAAGGATAGGCGAATTTATTTAAATTGTCCTACAAATTTATTTGTTTAAAATTAGCCATAGAAATTTTCAATAGAAAAACACCAAAAACTTTTTCTCCCTTGCTCTTTGCTCCTTCTGCTGTCTCCCTTGTCGCAAGAGATTTATAGACCTCAATAATACCGCATTTAACTGACCAGCTTGATATCCTACTTAATTATTCTTGCTTTGTTTTTGGTTCCATACTGCGCGGACACTCTTCACTATTTCGTTATCACTTTTCCGCGTTGGGGAAGTGTGCTGTTCCTACAACACGGCGCCACCACTAAAACAAGTCGGTAAACTAATCGTATTTCGAGGACATCAGGTTAGTAAATATTATAGGCGGACTCGTTATATAATGATGCCCTATTCACTACAACTGAAACCGAGTAAAGCAAGATGCTCCATATATTCTGGAGCGTTACCAGCATTCAGATACGCAGCGACTGTAGTCTTGACCAGACAGTGTATTTAGAGTTTTACTGATAGTCAAGAATACTTTTTCCAAAAAATAGTTAAATATATATACATGACAATAATTAAACCTTTACAGTCGGCCTCCCCTACAGCCAACCAATTCAGGTCCATAGTAAACTTCTTAACTCTGTGACTATGAGGAATAGTGGCTTCAAAAATTTGCCATTAAAGCCGTTACATCGAACTGTAATTGGCCTGGCTGTAACGGAGTTTGACTGTATTCGCATTGATTAACGTTGTTTTGTGCATCTTGGTAACAAATTTTTCATTATAGCGGTCGCCCCCCTGGCCCGGCGTCGCCTGAACACCTTTCACCATCGTCTAATGTCAATTTCTACGACCTTATCACCTCATCAATCGATGAAGGGCTTCTCAGCAACGGTATCAACATGTGGATCCGAACATCTTCGCTCAAATCTCTTCTGCACATCGAAATTCAATAAGGTTAAGCTTGTAGATGATCTGCTTGGTATCAGCGATCTACCCGTGAGTGAATTGATGAAGCAACATATTACCTCGTTGAAAGTCAGCGACGAATCTGATTTGGAAGCCGAGAATGCCTTTTTCGTTGCTGATTTGGGTGAAGTTTACCGTCAGCATCTGCGCTGGAAAACTCGTTTACCACGTGTTGAACCGTTTTATGGTATGCAAGTGACCGAGTATATCAGTAATCAATGGTAATAATGTAGAATAGCTTAAATACGTGATAATGATATATAAATACTTTTCTGGGAGTCTGAACGCTTTTGTCTATGTACATTGCAGCTGTTAAATGTAATCCGGACTCCATGATGCTGAAACTCCTTGCCGCGTTAGGAGTGGGGTTCGACTGCGCTAGCAAATTGGAAATACAGACTATCCTCAGCATGGGCGTAGACCCAGGCAGGATTATTTATGCAAATCCATGCAAACAAGCATCATTCATTCGTTATGCCGCGCAGAAGGAAGTTAGAATGATGACTTTCGATAATGTGGATGAACTGCATAAGATAAAACAGCATTTCCCAAGTGCACAACTAGTATTGAGAATACTAGCAGACGATTCTAAATCGTTGTGCAGGTTGGGGCTGAAGTTTGGGGCATCCTTGGAATCTGTTGATCAACTACTGCAAACTGCACAAAATCTTGAGCTAGATGTCATTGGTGTCAGGTAAAATGATAATTAATAATCAAATAGTATGTAATTAATAGAGGGCGATTATTGCATTCCAGTCAATCTTACGATATTCTATCTCAATCATAGCTTCCACGTAGGTAGTGGCTGCTACGACGAAGAAGTTTACGCAGATGCAGTTTGGCGTGCGCGCGTCGTTTTTGACAAAGCAGCACGCTACAACTTTAACTTCAGTCTCCTCGACGTTGGTGGCGGTTTCTCTCACTTGCATAACGGTGATGGTATTACATTCGAAAAAATCGCCAATGTACTCGATACAGCGTTAAAGAACTATTTCCCGGAAGATATACGCATTATTGCTGAGCCTGGAAGGTATTATGCTGCGCCGGCCTATACTATTGCTACACAAATTATTGCTAGAAGACCTGTTCTGAGAAATCAGGAAGCAGGAGAAAATGATTTCGTGGACAGTGAACAGAAGCTAGCGGGAGATGAACAGTCTTTCATGTGTGAGTGATATTGCGAGCGCGACAAAGGGTTTGCTTTACATGCTGTTAATACAAAGACTATGCTAATGAGTTATCTACTTGTGTTTAAGATTATATTAATGATGGTGTGTATGGGGCATTCAACTGCATCCTTTTTGATCATCAGATTGTTCATCCAAAAGTCCTTATTAAGGACGATATATTTTACTTTGATACTACCATGACTGGTGAGTCAGAGTATTCGAGCAGTGTCTGGGGTCCAACTTGCGACTCTATCGATTGTGTCAACAAGGATTCTAGGCTTCCTGAATTATTTCCAGGGGATTGGCTCTATTTTGAAGAGATGGGTGCATATACTATATCTGCAGCATCCCAATTTAATGGGTTTATGAAAAGTAATGTCCTTTATACATCTACAGAGAATAAGGTGTTTGAATATATTTGAATGCATTTCAGCAGATGGCCTGTCGTACAGGGGATGCCTTGGAATGTCATTTTATTGTTATAGACTTCAATTGTGATAATAGCCGAGGAAACTGGATAATGCAAGTATGGCTAAAAAGGTGCCTTCGGTGGTGTGCATGATTCATCAAAGCTTCAAAATATTAAATCGTCCTTACGAAAGAGCATTACCTCATAATAATACTTTATTGGTTCATAACTATTTCGTTCTTATTAGTAGTATTTGATACATCAGCAAAGCCAGAAAGTCCCGATCATATGTCATAGAATTCACTTACTTCTTGCATTTCTACAACATTACGATTTCGCAAGCGTCCTCTCAAGTCATTCTTGACAAGGTTCGCTGTCGTTAGGCACAATCAGCAGCACCGTTGGGTCTTGTATGAATTCCGAGTTTAATTGCGTTGAACGTGATAACGCTTGCGTATCACACGGTCAGGCCAGACGACTTCGTTATCAGGATGACAAGTTGCACAATTCGAGATGCACATGTTTATCATAAATTTCTGTTAGTAACGGAAAAGCAGATATCCTCGTTTTTCGCTATCATATACGTGGTATTATATCTCATACTATTTGGGAAGAGTATTATTTTTAAAGAACGGGTTTGTTGTAGAAAAAATCCCAAGTATTAATTAACTGTATTAAGGTGTTGGCGATTAGAATGTATTTGCCAGAGTGTTTCAGTAAAAAGAAATTTATTGTTTTGAAAATCACGTGATCAAGGGAAATATTTGAGGAATAACCTTTGAAAGAAGCACTTTCGTTTTCAACAATGGCACTTGCCCCTCACTCCGCTGGTAGGCTGATATGCAAAGTTTAGTGAGTTAAGTATAGGTTTGATTAACTTCCGTAAAGGTCACAGGTACGGTCTTGCTTCAGCCCCGCATGTGCTCGAGGCGTACTTGGACTATGTGGTATGTACAAGCCTGTGGAAATCCATTGCCGTCGTAGCCTTGTTATTTAATGCAAGTTTCCTTGCTGTAGTGTCCGTTTTCTGCACGACTGTTCAAAAAGCTGCACACGGTCAGTCAAGTCAGTCCAAATCATTTCTTTGTCTCACGATAAGGAAATAACACCCATTATCTTGCAGGAAATTTTTCCCTATATCAACCAGAAATATCCGGATAAAGTTCAATTTATCTTTCGCCAACAAATTCAAGCTTGGCATCCCGTCTCTGCTATAGTTAACGAAGTAAGCACAAGTTTTCAATTTGGCTCCTTCCACTGTATTACTTATTTCAGTATACTCGTTATTTAGGCTGCATTAGCTGTTGAAAAACTTAATCCGTCCAAATTCTACGAATTCTCTGCAGTGCTGTACGAAGCTCAGAAACAGTGAGTCAAACATCTTCATAATGCTGTTCTATTTCGGTTGTTTATTTTATGAGCGAATTGTTTGCAATACGATACTCTTGATCAGATATTTTGATGAAGTAACTTACACGCAAAGTCGCGCTCAAATACACGAATCTTTATCGAAACTCGCCGGTTCAGTCGGGGTCTCGCCTGAAGAATTTCTTAAACTGCTTCGTGTTGGCGATGCTGACAACCCTCGCAATTATGGGAATGGTGTGACTGCCGAATTGAAATATCATATCAAACTCGGACGTCAGAATGGGGTTCATGTGAGTCCAACAGTACTGTTTGATGGGTTGATTGTGCCCAACAACGACAGCGACGGATGGACTTATGAGCGTTTTAAAGAATGGCTTGATAAGACGCTTACCAAAACGTAATGTCAAATTAATGTAGTTATAGATTTATGGTATTCTATGCACGATCGATGCACAATAAATTATTACAAATCTTTGGTTAGCCGTAAGGATAATTTTGTTTTGACGAACCATTCTGGTTTATTTTCAAGTCTAAACTTTATAATTGAAGTGACTTCCGATGCATCCCCTGTCTGACGAACTAGAACTCGTTGGATGCATTCAAATTCAAATATTTGTTCCTTTAGACGCGTAAAGTACACGAGCTCTTGTATATATTGTGTAGACAATCATCTATCTACGCGCTACGACCACATTTTATTTATTATTATGGCCAATTTCTAAACCCTTTGATTTCTACCTAATTGTAAACACCAAAATAAGCATCTCTAATAATATTATTAATCATGTGATTTGTATCTACATTTATTATTATTATAGAATAAGAAGGAGAAATTAAAAAAAAAAAAACACACAACACTATTTCAGAGTTATTGTCTTGTACTATGACCGTATTCAGACGAAAAACAGAAACTGTTCATCAAAGCTTTTCTCAACCTCTTCAATCTCCAGGACTTGAACTCATTACATCAAACATATCAGGCATTATATGACTGCAACAAAACCTGACAAAGTGAACATTTTGATTATGTGACATAAATGATGTGGCTGAAAGTTGACTAATTATAATAACATTTTGATTACGTACGTATCACAGCTATAACTTACATATTACACAAATTATTAAATTACGGGTTTAAATTAATATTATACGTACGTACCAGAAGGCGACTAACATTATAATTAGATGAATCTAAAGTTATAACATGTTTAACATAGGCCTATCTATCTATATATATATATAAATGAACTAATTTACATTAAATTTACTATGGAACCAAAGAATTACACTATTAGAAGCATTTTAAGAAAAATTGCGCCTTACGTTTTTAAATCAATGATACCAAAATACTCCAGGAATATCTTAGATAAAGAAATTTTTACTTAAAGTTAAGGAGAGCCATCCTTTGCTATTCCAGAATCTATATTCTAATCTCATATTATTTACTTATTCTTTTGAATAATAAAAGTTTGGAATTTCTCCTTAATCTTTTCTTTGGCTTTACTTACAAGAGTTTGTGTAAAGCTGGTAATTTTTTGGTTGTTGAATAATATATTCTGCTTATTTCTTGATCTTTATTTAACAAACTATTTTCTAATAATTTTATTCAATCTTGAAGCTGCCTATTGTAACATTATGCTTTAACTATTAACACTGTTTCAGACATTTGGCGTTTTTTTCTTCTTTTCCACTTCATAAAGTTTCCTTATATTTTAGGCAAACTTGAACGGGTTTTCCAGTTTTGACATAAATGTTTAATAGAATTCAAATCTGGTAAAGCGACTTTCATCACTCCAAATAACGGACTTCCATTTTCGAATAGACCAATCCTTTCTTTCAATACACCCGTTTAGGCGATTTTCTCTTTGCTGATCAGTAAGTAAAGATTTGGATGTCGAAACGCGAGAGAGAAAAAATTAATTTCGTGTGTAAATTTCTCCCAATAGTTTTAGTAGAAACGCCAAGTCCGGTTCTTTCATTAAACATATTTTTGAATTCTTCAGCTGATTTCTTGTTGAACGTTGTATAGAGTTTAATGGAGGGTACTTTGAAGAAATAAACTAGTTGTATTGATAATTATTATGTAATTTCTGGAAATAAAGGTCCACGCGCAAAACTTTTCAGCACCCCAGGTGGTGTATATTAATATGCAGTAATTAATTTAATCAGGTTAATGAAGAAACGTTGTCAGCTTAAATAAAATTTTCTGGTTCAAACATCTGCGTTATGGGAATCATGACGCGGATGATGATTTGGAGGTCGTTCTGAACGCATCTGAATAGAAATTGTGTGCGATACACGTGGTTTACATCGTCGGTTATATAAATTGACGTGAACATGTGTACACGTTAGCCCTGTATGTTTTCTAATGCAAGCATAGCATTTTAAAAGTATCAAATCTAACAAACTAAACACTACCAACAAAATTATTTTGTCACTACATTTCTATGAACTTGACAACGTCCTTACGAATAGGTTCTTTTGAATGAGAATATGTGCCGACAGTCCTGTATCCATTAATAGGTTGCGAGGTTGCGTGCATGTTCGATCGCATCTACAGGATATAATACCTCAAGAAGCAGGTCCTGATTTTCGAAACAACGGTATTTTTAATTCGTCGCAAGAGAAACAAATAGCTGCCCCAAATACTTAAGCTGACTTATAAGAAAAGCCTTGCGTCACTCTATCGGGTCGAGTACTATTTTTCGAAAAGTTATGAAGAAGTCGGGCGATTGAGTAATAAACGATTATTTTCTATAATCTCGTTGAAGGTTTGAATTGGAGGTATTAATTGTGCAATCAAGCGACTATTTATGCCAATTGAGCTTTTCTTTACAGTTATAAACAGACTATTGCAAGCGAATGGCGCATCTACTGCTTATTGTGTTACAGTATATTGCCTGCTAGAATCGAATCATAAACGGATAATTTTTTCAACTTAATAAGATTTCTAAACACACAATATTAGTGTATCCATCTCACTGTGATTTAGAAAGAGCTAACAAATTTTATTGTTGAGATTGTGCCCAAAACATGGTTCAACAAAAACTAAATAAATGTGCAAGTTGAGAAAGAAATAAAAAGAAGATCTTTAGAGAAGCCCTAGAAAAGTTTAAAAATAAAGAGGGAGGTGATTGACCATGAAGAATAAAACAGTTAATGAGCATGGTCAATGAAAATGAGACAGAATTGTTGCCACTTGTCCCCAATGTAAAATCTATCTTCACTGAGATGTCAGTGTTTATGAAGACAGTAAACACCATGTTTGTTCATGGTAATTGCTCAAATAAAATCGAAAAAGGCAATCAATCCACACATTTTACTTTTAATTCAGACAATACACCAAATTATTGTTGTCTCAAATCTGATGAAAAGGAAGCCGCCTTGGCTGTTCTTCATGAAAAGGGTTTGTATTATCAGACTTAGGAGGAAGTTTTTTTACTTTCGCTAATGTTACGGTCGGGTGGTCTGGGGTTTGGGAGGGCGATTAAATCTTTCGCGTAGGGGTGTTCTTCCGACCGGGGGATGTTACCAGATTAGCTTCGTGCTACCGCCCTTATTACGGTAGTTGGTCAATTAAGACTGAATTCTAATCTACAAGTGACCTATTAATAATTAAAAATGCGCGCTTCCTAACTCCCTATT